CTGTTTTCATACAAAATCACTGTCTGAAAACGAATAATATACATAGTACACGCGATAGCAATCGGTGTTCAAACGTCAATCGATCGACGCTGATTTCTAATTCTGCGCGGCGATTTGTGCGTGTGTATGAACGTCAACTATCGAAATTTTAATCGAATTGTTATACTAAACGCTTGTAGAATACTGTTTAGCTACTTCATGAACTGTAGGTATACAAACAGGATTCGTTTGAGAAATTTTGTTCGAAATTTTTAATTGAATTAAGTTATTTAAGTAATTAAAATGAATGAAGAAAGGAAAAAAAATTCCTTAAAAATAAAAGATACATCGTTCAAGTTTTACATCGATAAAAGATAAAAAATTTTATAATATATTACTTTATTATTAATATAATTACTTTATATATACTTTATTTATTAATATAATAATATTACTTTATTTACGCTTCCCTCCTCCAATCGTGCCTAAATTGATCCAAATCACCAGAATTGAACATTCCTTGTGGATTATATTTTCTACTAAGACATCTAACATGTTTAAAAGTTCGAAAGAATTCACTAAGAACAGAGGGCAAACTTTCTCGATGCCCCAGATTCTCTCAAATCTAAAACGAACTCGTCATTCTTCAATCACTTTGCATCGCACGCTTGTTTCACAAACGCTTCGTCAAGATGTTCCGTGCAACACATTGAAATTTTACTTTCGACTTGGCCGAAGAACTGGGCCGAAGTGTCTCACGGAGGAGAAAAGGAAATCGATGAATATCACGTGCAATATACGAAAGAAGAAGAGAGTACACACGACTCGAAGAAATCGGCACTGCAACTCGTGAGAGAGCACGAAAAAGAGAAAGAGAAGCTCGCGACCACGCAGTCCCACAGGCTTTCTTTAGAAATCTTGCCAACCCCTTCTGCGAGCTGCCTATCAATTAGCGAGCCATTATGACCGGTAATCATCGTAGTTAAGCGACATGCACACTGTCAGTCTTACATTACAGCACGCGTTCTCAATGATGTTGATTTGCACTCGCGTGCTTTCATCGCTCGCAAGATGGAAATCGACGGCACACTTTTGCATCGACCGCGCAGTGTTTTCAATAAATCGAAGCCAGCTCTACATTTTAACAGTTTTGCATTTTCTTTCATTTATTTTTCACGACGTAATCTTCCGATACGAACGATTGACATTGATTGCGTATTTTTATACGAATTCGTATTTTATATGGATTTGTCGATTGGAACAAATAGAATAGTATTTAAATAATAAGAATAGAATGTAAAACGGAGATTTTGGTAAATTACTACGAGTATTGTATTTTATTTATTTTGTAAATTACTTGCACCCTTGGGTATTTCAATATTGCATAAATGCATGAAGATCTGCAGTCTAATGATAAGTATGGAAGAGAGTACGAGAGATTGCGACTGGCTACCAAATATGGTAAGATAAATTATTACATTTCCCGGGAGGGGATCCATGATGTGCTGCGCTTTAAGTTGGAAAAGTGAAACTTAATGACTGATAATTAGCTTTGGTATTAAGAACGCGAAGCCAATGATACTGTCAGTGTGGTATTTTTTTAATACGATAAAACTGATTTACTGAATAAAAATGTGACGGAAACGTATATTTTGTAAAAATTCAGTATTGAACAAAATTTTCGATTTAATTCTTCTCTAATGACTTCTCTGATATATCTCACGCGATGAATAAATTGATAAACGGATTAATTAATTAACAAATGTTTAAAAAGAGATTCCGCAGAAATATTTCAAAATTATTCTTCGTCTGAATGACGTAACAAAAAAAAAAAAAAAAAAAAAAAAAAAA